CTGTGACGTGTGCGTGGTGGCGTGTGCGTGTGCGGTGCGTGTGCGTGTGCGTGTGCGTGTGCGTGTGCGTGTGCGTGTGCGTGTAGCGTGTGCGTGTGCGTGTGCGTGTGCGTGTGCGTGTGCTTGTGCTTTTGTTTCGTGTGCGTGTGCGTGTGCGGGTGCGTGTGCGTGGCGTGTGCCGTGTGCGTGTGCGCTTGCGTGTGCGTGTGCGTGTGCGTGTGCTGTGCGTGTGCGTGTGCGTGTGCGTGTGCGTGTGCGTGTGCGTGTGCGTGTGCGTGTGGTGTGCGTGGTGCGTGTGCGTGTGAGTGTGCGTGTGCGTGTGCGTGCGCGTGTGCGTGTGCGTGTGCGTGTGCGTGTGCGTGTGCGGGTGCGGGTGTGTGTGCGGGTGCGAGTGCGTGAACGGGTGCGGGTGCGTGTGCGTGTGCGTGTGCGTGTGCGTGTGCGGTGTGCGGGTGCGGGTGCGGGTGCGGGTGCGGGTGCGGCAGCGGGTGCGCGTGCTGCGTTTGCGGGTGCGGGTGCGTGTGAGGGTGCGGGTGCGGGTGCGGGTGCGGGTGCGGATGCGTGTGCGTGTGCGGGTGCGGGTGTGTGTGTGTGTGTGTGCGTGTGCGTGTGCGCGTGCGTGTGCGTGCGTGTGCGCGTGGACGGGGGGGTCGTTCGGGAGGGCTGCTCTTGTCTTTCTTGCCGGACGGGCCTCTCTCCGAGCGGAGCGCGGGGAAAGAATCCAGCTCGGCTCGCTCTTCACAGGAGATTGCGCACGCAGGACGGGCGGAGGGAGGAGCGCACGGGGGAGGGAAACAGGAGACGGAGGGCGGGAGATCGGTCAAGGGGGGGGGAGAGAGGTCGAAGGAGAGAGGAGAGAGAGAGAGAGAGACGGAAAACAGTGGAGGGGGAGATGCCGTTGTCTCCTCCTCCTCCCCCTCCTCCTCCTCATCCTCTTTATCCTCCTCCTCGTCCTCGTCCTCCTCCTCCTACTCCTCCCTCCCTCCCACAAAGAGAAGCGTGGTCCGAAGAAATCCCGTGCAACGTGTCGTGGGAAAGCACAGCACGCCAGGCGGCCATCGTCCTTCCTTGAGAGATCCTAGAACCTCCAAGAACACCCCAGATTGGTCAAGAGCCTTCGCCCCAAACCCTCCGCCATCCTCGAGCCGTCAAAAGTTCCACCACCCTGTCTGGCGCCGCCAAATAGTGTGGAAACCGGGGTCCAGCGCGGACCCGGAAAGTCCGAGCGGACCTCGGGAAGTGTACGTTTCTGCGGCTGCACGCAAGAGTGATCTTGGGCAAGATTGACCCTTGGTGCGCGCCATTCGGGGGCACGCGCAAGGAGGAGGAGGAGGCGGAGGAGGAGGAGGAGGAGGGGGAGGAGGAGGAGGGGGAGAAGGAGGAGGAGGAGGAGGAGGAGGGGAGGAGGAGGGGGAGGGGGGGAGGAGAGGAGGAGGAGGAGGAGGAGGAGGAGGAGGAGGAGGAGGAGGAGGAGGAGGAGGAGAGGAGGAGGAGGAGAAGCTATGGCGCTATGGCCGAGGGCGCAGAAGGGGATCCCGACTGGGCCTCGGAACGAGAAACGGGCGCGGCCACGCACCCGAGAGAAAGGGCCGCCGCTAGTCCGACTCCCCTGACTCGGGCTGAAGTGGCGGCGCGGGAGCCGAGGGGGGGTGGGGAGCCACGGGCGCTGGCCCGCTCGGCGCCGCTGTACAGGCTCGCGGCTCTGGGCCCCGACCCTCCTCCTCCTCGGAGTCCGCGAGCGACCCCGACCGCCCCGTCCGCCACGCGCTGGCGACTTGGCGTTAGGTCGGGCGTTTCCTACTACAGGGCGATTTCCGACGAAAAATGAAAAATACGGAAAAAAACTCAAAAATGGTGAACAACAGTCAAAAAATCCTCCCCAGACTATTTGTTGACGACTTTTGAATATCCCCCCATGTAAAGGGACAGGCCCAACGTAAACTTAGCGCCCCCAGGCCAAAGTTTGTTTAAGCCTCCCGAAGCCGCCTGCCCTCGCTTCGGGCACACCCACAGCGCCCCCGGCAAGGCGCCGGAGAGCATCCCGAGGCTGGCAGCAATGAAGGGGCCCAGGGACACACAGAGGAACAGGCACAAGTCCCAGGATTCCCCCTATTTCCCCACATGCTCCTCTGGGCTTTCATCCTCCCCTCGACTGCCCATACTTTCCCACACTGCGGGACAGGAAATGACCACAGCCACTGTTTCTTGTTTGCGCCGCCTTCCAGCCGGCCAAAAAAGAAGCAATGATTGTGGTCATGTCCCTGGTGCCAAGCTTAACGGAAATGACCACAACCACTGCTTTGTTTCTGCTGGCTGGAAGGCGGCAACAAAAGAAAAACAGTGGTTGTGGTCGTTTTCGCGTCCCGTACACACTTTCCCGGGAATCGACGATTGTTTGTGCCTGTGTGGCCTCTCCCCTCCTGGCAAAAGGCCGAAGGCCGACCGAAAACGTCCGAGAGCTCTTCCCTCCTCGGCTCGCTGGCCGTGCCATTCGGCATGAAGCAGCCGGACCCTGAGGCACGCGGGTCCTGGACCCAGGATTAAGTCAGGGGGATTTGGGACGAAAAATGACCCCCCCCCAAAAAAACATGCCCAAAAATACCCAAAAAAACATCCCCTGACTATGATTTGACAAATTTTAGACATTCCTCCTGTAGGGGGACAGGCCTAAACCCAGGACAAATCTTCCGCCCCGAGCCGTTGTCAAGCAGCCCCGGGGCCCGCGAAGGGCTCGCGAAGGCCACGAGCGGCGAGCGACCTCAGGACCCGTCCGCCTCGGGAGCCCCCCCCCCGAGATCCGACGCGACGAGCATTCTGCAACAGCAGAACTTTTTTTGTTCGCGGGCGCGCAGGGGTGCCAGGCGCCGTCGGGGAAATTGCCAGCTAGCAGAAGCCTAAATTAACCACCAAGTGCGCAGGAGCGAGCTACGCAGCGCCTCAGATGCGGGCGACCCAGAGTACAAACAGGAACGCCGGAACCAACATAACAACAAACAAATGGCACGGGCCCTGGAGCCCATCTCTCTGCAGCAATGTGCCGAGCCGGATCGACATATATGCGATATCGGCCTGGGGCCCACAGTGGGGCGAAGGCGCCGGAGGTGACCAATCGCAGCGCCAGGGCAGCTCAGGGCCGCTTGCCTTCCGGGCGAGACGTCTCCTCTGCTTGCCGGGAGAAGTGCCCAGGGCGTGCCCCTCCGCGTGCAGGCGCGCCCACGGGGGGGGGGGAAGGAAGAGGAAGCGGGCCTCCTCAGAATGCTCCAAAGCCCCTCGGCCTTCTGGGAAGCTCTCCACGCCTCCTGCGAAGCCACGGGAGGCCCCCCTACAGGGGGATGTTCGACGAAAAATAAGAAGTACCCCCGAAAAATATTCCAAAATGGCCCAAAAAATATGCAAAAATAGTCCCCGTACGATGTTTTGACTACTTTTGAACTCCCCTGCTGTAGAGGGACAAGCCCGACCTGAGGCTTCTCACAAGGGCTCCTGAGAAGCCCCGCCGCCTTCTCGGAAGGCCTGCCCCCAGCTCGGGAGCGGCCAAGAGGGGGGTGTCCAAGAGGGGGGGTGCAAATCATGACCGGCAGCATGTGCGCGGCCCAGCGGGGGGGCCAGGGACGTAATGAAATGAGAAGAGGCGCCATGAAATCTGCGGAGATATCATGGCCCGCGCCATAATATCCACCCCCCCTGGTCATCACCCCCCTCTTTTCCGCCCCCGACCAGCGCGCTCCCCCCACCTCGGCGCGCCGCCGAGCCGCAGCTGGGGGCCCCCGACGGACTCCTGCCGCCCCCCCGCCCCGCTCCTTCGGGAGAGGCGCTCGGGGGGGGGGGGGTCCCTTGCACGTGCAGGTGGGCCGGGCCCACGACGCCGCCGCCGCCGCCGCCGCCGCCGCCTCCGCCGCCGCCGCCGCCGCCGACGACGACGACGACGACGACGACGACGACGACTCCCTGTTCCTTCGAGGGGCGCCCGGGGGTGGGTCCTTCCACGTGCAGGTGGGCAGGGCCCCCAGCGCCTCCATGGTGCGTCGCTCCTTCTCCTGCTGCCGCTGCGCCTCGGCCAGCGCGGTGCGCTGCAACACCGGCGTGGAGGGAGGAGGAGGGAGGGCGAGTGGGGGGGAGGGGGAGGGAGGCGGAGAGGGCATGGAAGGGAGGGGGGATGGAGGGGGGTGGAGGAGGAGAAGGGAGGAGGAGGAGAGAGGATCCTTATGGACCGTGGACTCCGCTCCATCCAGGTGAAGGGATGCCTGGGCAACCCTCGCGACCCTCAGGACGAGGAGAGAGGGTACCGCGGAAAGCAATAGGAGCGACGGGCCAGGACCCCAGGGAGGAGGGAGGAAGGAGGATGGGTCGAGGCTGCGGAGCTTGGGGCCGCTGATTACGGATCCGCGGATCTGGCGCGCGGGCACCAGATCCACGGATCGGGCAGAGTGCTTTCCCGAAACATGGGGCCAGTGCTGCCTCACCTTGCGACGGAGCGCGCCGATATTTGGCATGGAGGCGGGACCCATCGCTCATCCGCGCGCCCTGGTCCATGTCTGCACTTCCTCGACCTGTCTGGGTGCTTCAGGGAGGCCTCCGATTGCCACGGCTGGCCCTGGCTTCCCCTCGACGTGATGGCCAGAACGCCCCCTCTGGAGAGGTCGGGGCACGGAGGGATGGAGACAGGAGAGACGAGGGAGGAAGGACGGGGAAGAGCAGGAGGACGCCCAACTGCCCACCTGCACCCATCCTGGCCAGGCCCCTTCCAAGCCTCGGACTGGCGCCCCCACACCCCCTTGCCAGGAAGCCGTACACACCGCTCACCGGCCCACCCACGATCGGCGCGGGTGTGCAGTTGGCGTCCCCCTGGACGGGAGGGGCGAAGGAGGACGGAAGAGGGAGGAGGGAGGACGGAAGAGGAAGGAGGAAGATCCGCGGCTGAGGAAGGAGGGAGCACCAGGGTCCCGCTTGCCGAGTTGCGGTTCCGTATCCTGCCCCGGATGAAGCACATGAGGTAGAGGAGGGCTGCCGAGACGCAGGTGCCCAGCAGCGATATGCCAATGACAATGGCGATGGGCCAGAACGTCATGGTGAATCCGGCCTCGGGGGAGGAGGGGGAAGGGAGAGGGAAGGATAAGAAAGGGCAGGGACAGGAGGAGGAGGAGGAGGAGGACCCGTCGAGGCTTCAAGCAGTCCTGGTGAGTGGAACTCCCGAAAACCTCGGGCATCGAACCTCGATCCCTCAACGGCGGCACAAACAAAAAACACCCCGACAGCCTTGACCGCCTCGATCTCTCGAACCACCTCGCTCCTCGCGGCGGCCACCAAGTACTAGGTGTAAGTACTCCAGTCGGAGAGGCTCAGGGACTCTGGCGGCAGTGCGCGAGCAGAAGGAGGAAACAGCATCCATGCGCCGCCAGGGGTCCTGGGTCGAACGCCTCGCCGCGAAGGAAAGCCCCACGCAGAAGGAAGGAACGACAGCCGGGGGGGCTCGGGCCCGAGCCGCGGGGGCGACCGTCCACCCTCGCGGCGGCAGGACAGAGACACCGCCGACGGCAGCAGCACCCCCACGGGCGCCCGCAGCCCGGGAGGGGGCCGGGGCACGGTGGGCGCGCCCGCCGCAGAGGCCGGCCTCGACCCACTCGAAGGAGATGTGCACCGCGGTGCCGTTCTCGGGATCCGTGGGGAAGACGATCATCACGTGGTCCTCGAGGGGGGGCGAGAGGAACTTCCAGTCCGCGGGCGCCAGGTGTTCCAGACGCCGTTCCGCAAGCGGTGGGGTGCACGGGGAGCGAATGCAGACACGAAAGGGCCTGGAGCGACATCAGACGGCACAAGACTCTGAGGCGACTTTCCTTTTTGGGCCTCCTCGGAGGGGGGGGGCCTCGTCGCTGCAGCTGGACTCGCCACGGGATCCCGGCCAGAGCGAACCTCTGGAGAGGCCCAGGGATAGCGTGTTTGTTGTGCTTTTTCGGGGGGGAACCCAGCGTATGAAAAGAGGTCGTCCACGACCGCGGCCTCCTGTCCCTCTCGACGCCGTGCTCGCTGGAGAAGTGTCAGCAGCAGCGACGGAGGAATCTGGAACGGCGGCACCCGCAGCGGACGATTCAGCAGGAGGAATGGACAAGTGAGAAAGGTCGAAGCATGGATATCAATGTATGTTTGCTATTCTGGCGGCACACCGTCCGAGGGCCTCGGAGTCCCGCAGACCCCTTCAGGACGACCTGCATAAAAAGTCTGGCACGCCTGAAACGGGTACGAAAAAGTGGGTACGATGCCCAACAGCAAATGTCGCCCAAAACCGACAGCGGGCGCTATTGGGAAAATGAACAGAACAATACCTGCTGTCGTTATTCGTCTCGCCATCGCTCGGACGTCCATTCCCCGTGCATTGGTCGGTTTCGTGCGCATTATCATTCTCGAGATGACCCAACATGCTCCAAGATGGTCCAGCTTTTCTGGCCTTGGCCTCGCCGAGAACAATACACCCGCCCGAGCGATGCCAAGTCGTATGCGTCCCCGTTCTTTCCGTGCCCATTTCGGCCGCACCGAAGGCGCACACTGGAGGCCAGCACAAGAAACCTCCCGCAAGAAACCCGGCCCTGAGACCCCAGGACGTCCATGGATCTGTGGTGCGGGAACGTCACGCTCTCCACAGCTGAACCATCGAAACCCAAGAAAGCCCAGGGGCACCCTGGAGGCGAGCAGGGTGCTCCTTGGCACGGGCCTCCACGGCGCTCTGGCCCAGCCCGCGCCCTGCAGCCGGAACAGCGAGCCCCCTCGCTGAAGGCCCAAGGCCCCACGGAGGCGCAGCGTCCCAGGGGGGGGGGGCGCCCCCCCAAGACGACGAAGAGCACGAGTGATGGGCCTGTTTTCCACCACCACCACCACCACCATAAGTTGGAGGGGGGAAGGCGGAGGAGGAGGAGGAGGAGGAGGAGGAGGAGGACCCCCTCCCCCTCCAACTTATGGTGGTGGTGGTGGAAAACAGGCCCATCAACGAGGGCACTCCTCCAGAGAGGGGGGCTTCCCGTCGCCCTCGCGCCAGCTGCACGCCTGCGCGGAGGCCGCCGCGGCGGCTCCCTCTGCTGGCCCGCCTCTGGACCCCGGCCAGCGCCCTGCACCAGCCATCAGGGCAGCCTCCCCCGCCGGACGGTCCGTCGCCCGAGCCCGCCGAGGGACCCCGGGAGGCCCCGGGGCGCTCGAGGCATCCGAGAACGGCCCGGGTCCGAGAACCCTCGTTGTGCACAGGAGCGGGTTGTGAGGGAACGGGGTCCGGAGGAGGTGTTCTGCCGTTTTCGGGCACCTGGGGCGTCCAAGGGCCCAAGAAGCGTCAAAGAACGACTCAGGAGGAGGAGGAGGTGGAGGAGGAGGAGGGGAGGAGGAGGAGGAGGAGGAGGAGTAGGAGAGAGGAGAGGACGACGAGGAGGAGGAGGAGGAGAAGGGGGTGAGGAGGGGAGAGAGGGGGAGGAAGGGGGAGGGGGGGAGGAGGCGGAGGGAGGGGAGGAGGAGAGGAAGGAG